GAAGAAGAAAGGGGTGTTCGCTGCCCTCTGTAGCCACCCATGGCGAACAAACTGTTTTAACAGGCGACACTGTAATTCCGGACAGACACTCTAATTCCGGACTGCACTCCGCGCAGATTTCTGCACAGAAATCTGCGCTGGGTGCAGAATTCTGCGCAGAAATCTGCTTTTTTTAAGATTTTGTACAATACTGTCCTAGAAAATGTATCATTATGGTGATAGGTGGTAGATATACTCTCCTACAAATGCTACTATCAGGTTACATGTATTTTGGGCATAACTTGTCAGAAATGCATTGGCTTTTGCCCAGTGCCCTGCAATTTGGCATGGGGATAGTTTTGCACTGTATGCTGTTCTATTCCTTAATTTTGTTTCTTGAAAAAATTGTGATCTTCAAAATTATTCATGAAGTAAAACAATGCTCCAAAATGTAATGATGAGCTACACATTACAGACTAGGACATACAATGTAACAGATGTTTCATTTGAGCTATACAGGCAAGCATAAGACCAGATCCTGTAACCAGGTAGCCTGAGTGTCAGCCTTTTTATCTTTCGTCTACTCCCAATCATATGCTACCCATAGAGTGTGGGGAGCGGACGAAACCTACAAAGGCTGACACTCTGGTTAGTAACCATCAGCATCAGTTGAATGAACCATAAGGGAAATTCCATTGGCACACGGGCGAAGATTTCTGCAGAAATCTGCAGAATTCTGCACAGATTTCTGCGCAGAAATCTAAATTTTTTAAAAGATTTCATACAATACTTAGAAATTGTCCCACAGAATGTATCATTATGGAGATTCACTCTCCTAAATACTACTATCAGCTTATTTTGGGTAAAAATGTCGGAAATGCATATATTTTTGCTTTTGTTCCACTTTATGACAGCCCAATATTCCAATATCCTGCAATTTGGCATGGGAATAGCTTTGCATAAATATTATGCTAAGGTTTTGCTTTCCAAGTTTTGATTCATGTCTTGCAAATGGTTTTATATAGCTTATTTTGGTTTAGAATAGTAAAAAATCTATATTATTGGCTTCTGTGCCTCTATGTTACAATGTACAGTCGAATGACCTGAAATTTGGAAAGAGGATAGTGTACCTTGGTGAAAGGTGTGAAGAAGTGGGTTCTCACTTTTTTAGATGCCGGCCTTATTTAGGTTATTTTGGGTAAAATAGCCAAAAATGTATATAACTCAGAGGCCTATGTGCCACAATATTATGGCCCAATGACCTGCAAATTGGAGATTCAATTTACTTTCAAGTTGGTACCAATGTGCTTGTTCATTTGCAATTTTTCCCCTTCCTATCATTTTCCTTGTTTTTGTTACAAGTAGCCAAAAATCTACATGCCTCAGTCTATGAATTATTTTGTCTGGAAATACATGGACTGATAA